TATGATTCTGAAGAGCAGAGTCAGAGGACGAGCACCAGCTGGATCCAGGCAGTCCTGGGAAAGCCCTGATGAAAGTGTAACCCCACCAGGCCTCTTTCACTTTCAAAATCTCATCTTCAAGAATGAGCCACCCAGCCCCTGTCCTTCATGACACTTTTCCTGACCACCAAAGGAAGAACTGAGCAGTTTTCTCCCAGGATGGGGATGATGCCCATGAGGGTTCACCTCTGCCCCCCTCCTCTGCCCTATCTCTCATACTTACTTGCTTTAGAGTTATTTCTGTTTCATGCTTACTGTGCTCCTGTATCAATTAATGAATAATTTCATGAATTTCAATCAACTCATGCTGTGTGCTGGCCCATTTTCTGGGAAGCTTTCTCTGAAGCTGCAGAGCCTTTCTGAGGCTGCACTTCACTGAAATGGGGGCTGCTGGCTGCTGGTCAATGACCTAAAACTCATTTTCTGATTCTGTGGAAGATCTCAGACCACACATTACAAGTAATAATGCAGAGGAGCAGTACCACAACAATAATTTCATATTTATACCCTGATATGCTGCAGCTGCTGGAACCCCTGCTTAGTTTTCTATTTCAAAGTTTCCTCTTTAGATTAATTCAGGGCTCTACCAGTCCTGCCAGTCCTAGTCTGAGGAAAAATGCCTTTATAATTCATTACATCCTGCAGATTGAAGGGGAAAATAACCCCATCTCCAGYGGTTTGCTGCACAGCATAACATCATAGGAGCAAATTTCGATGTGGTGCCCCCATCAGGGAGGATGCACTAACGTCAGCATTCCTTTTCTATAGTTTGGAACCTCTTTGTACTGTCAGCTTGGCATCKAGTTAACCATGGATATCTGACAGTCACATGCTTCAAAGCCTGTCTGTTGCCTTATCATCTGCCCTGGATGCCTTTTCACAGGGATTACTATAAAAGGATTATTACACTGGGAAAAGCTTCGCAGAGTTTGTTGGTTTGGCTGGGGAAACAGATGCAGCATGCATCTTTTCATCTCTCCCAGCTCTTCAGCCAGACAAAAAGAGAGCTAGCAACACATGGATGAATCAGAAGGTAAACTGAGTGTGTATCAGCTGCTTTCAGGGTTGAATCCTTCAGTGGTRCTTTGAATACTGATCTTCAGTCAATGAAAGGAGGATTTCTGCTCCTACAAGCGTATTTCAGTMATTTCAGCAACCCGTGTGATACCAGCGATGTGAATGATGAGCACACATCTGGCATGATGAAACAGGACTCTGATCTAAACACTGATCTGACAGATGGCAGCTCCTCAGACACTGATGTTGTGGAAGTGTGTGATAAACCCAAGGCRTGGTGTTAGCCAGCCAAAAAATTCAAGTCTAACTCCATTAGAACAAACTGCTGACATTAATGTGGTGAGAGTCCTCCCAAATGTGTCTGCGTGCATCACACACTAACAAAAAAAAAAAGAACAAAAAATCAGGGTGGCACGGCTTTCTGGTGCTGAGGGTTATTTCCCCTCCTTGACCTTAGTTTTTCTATTKCATTTCAAATTCAATTCATTTACTGGAAAACACCCACCTTAAAAGTTCTGGATACTCTCAAAATAATTGGGGTACACTATTTTTAGTTCAAGTAGCAAACCAGTTCCATCCTGTCAAATTATGGGCACCCAGCACATTTCCCTGCCCATCAATACAGYCTGGAAATTCCTCCTTGTTTTTTCATGGGTTAATCCCACCCTTATRYCTTCCTTCAGAGACATTTAGAAAAATACTGTAAACTGTACCTGCCATTTCTGTATCTGTATCATCAATATTTATTGCCCTCTTAATCAAGATATTCTAACCAATGGATATCATAACCTGACATATCTGCAGTACATTTCATCAGCAGGGGTAAAATTATTTGCTCTCATTGATTTATATTTCTATTTATTGACCTTTTAATTCAATTTTGATAGCTTAATTTTTCTTTCCAACAACCCTCGGAGTCAGAGCAGCTCTATACGGGGCAATAAATGGAGTTGCAATTAATCATTCATTTCCTTCTCGGTATAAAAAGCCACAACCACAACTAAATAATATTTTCGGTTTATAGAGTGTCATTTGGAGTAGTTAAGAAGAAAAATAGATCCTTCCCCATTAAGGGAGCCATGACTCACTGTGGATTGTAAAGGAGGAGTGAGGCTGTGGAAGTTCCTGGAGCTGTGCTGAAGCCACAGCAGGGATGAATCCGGCCTGTTGGAAATGAGCATTCACCCTCTCATGGGATGGGCTCCTGATTTATCAAACGGGCATTTATAGCATATTAAATGGACTAATTATGAAGCTTGAGTAGGAGAYTGTCCAATCCTGCAAGGTGCTCAGYCCTCAGAGCTCTTCCTGTGGAAAAAYAGAGCTCCCTGGAGGAGGCACTTAGGACTTGGCAGAACCGGCCCCATGGCCCTGGCTCAGGCACAACTGTCTGTGGGGCTGCCCCAAAATCTGCAAAATCCAGGGCAGGGGATCYCCCTCACTGCACTTGGGTTCTGGAAGGAGCACCGTGGGTCAGGGAATGAGGAACTGTTCCCCAAAAGGGATCTTGGTCCCTAAACTCCATTTTTCTGGCAGCTCAGCCCTGGGACTGTGAGCAAGGATCACATTCCTCCCATCCCTGACAGGAACTACATTTGCAATTAAACAGAAGCCTGCCCCTCTGCTCTCAATTTGACCTCTTCTCACTTAATATAATCAGTATTAAGACCTTCCAGCACCTCTGACTGATGTTTCTGGCCTCYTCTTCCAGTGGCTGGTAATTTTTCCCTCAGCTCAATAATTTACTTGGTTACTCATCATTTTTTAAAAATGTCTCACACATCTTTGATTTTCCTCCCTTGTTCTTTGCCAAACCTTTTGTTCAGGTTGTGAATTGATCAGTGCAATTACTGGGCAGCATTTCTCTTCTGTGGGYATTCTGCATTAGTTTCTGATTCAAAGAGTCTGAATGGCCAAAAGCTGACCTAAGGGCTTTTCTGTTGTCACCCTTTASAGTGACACACCAGGGATTTCAGATTTGTACCTGGTTGGGTCCATGGGCATGGAATTCTGAAGAAGCAAAATCTGTGATCTGAAGTCTYCTCCAAACTCCCAAATCCTTTAAAATTGTAACTCTTTTACATATGGAACAGAAGGGATCAAATTTGAAGCTATTATCCTCAGAGACAGACGAATAGATAAGGTTTTAGGTCTTCAGTCTGTAATTTTTCCGTCAGTAGATGGACTTCCTGCTCCTCAGGGAGGACTTGGATTTCCCTTCCTTCTTCTTGACCTCCATGCAAGCACTGCAAGGACATTTGCTCTTTTTTTCCTGATTATYCAGGGAGAGAAAAGCAATTTGTTGGACCTCACCCCTTCATGACCTCCCTCACTATGGAAAAAGTTCTCAGGATGACTTATCTTCCTTCCGTTTTTGTTTTTGTTTTCTTTTTACCCCCTATTTCTCACTAAAAAGTCCTGAAGAATAAAGATGAAAAATCTTTGGGAATGTTTCCAGTATTCAGGCAGGGAAAGCCAGCAGAGAAACACAACCTTTTGGGTTTAAAAGATGCATTGGCAGGAAGGCAGGTGGTTTCTGAGGAAATTGTTTGATTCAGCACTAGACAGCAAACAGCTAAGTGAGTTAATATCTGATTTCTCCTACTTGACAAGGAATATAAAGAAACAGCACTACAATGGTTATTAGGCAATCTATTGGCACCAGTGGTGACTGAACTTTATTARAATATACCCAGGAACACTTTTTGTGAGAAAACCTCTATTATRCAGCTAACAGGGAAGGTGATAAATGTAAAAGGAAAACCCTTTTTGTCTGGGAAATGTTTTGCTATTTTTGCATATATTGCCATAAAATTAAATTATGGCCTGCAAATCTACAATTTAGGGTGGATTTAACCCCTTAATTTAACCCTCAGCAGCTTTTAATCAGCTCCTGCACAAACAAGATGGAACCATCAAAATATAGTGAGAAGCCCTGACCAAGCAGAAGTTTGTCTTCACCAAGCTGGTTTAGATTGCTAAATATTCCTCCAACATGTGGAAAATAGTTATAAATAACTTTCACCTCTGGATTATCTCTTAGTATTTTTCAACAATGTGTGTAGCTATTGATGCAGGTAGAAGTCACTGTARGAGTTTTTATATTGCCCRAGGACAACTGGTTTAAAAAATAYAAATATTTCAATTTTATGCTTTGTGTGTGCCTTTGATGGATTCAATGTTTCTCTGGCCACTAGGACCTCCCAGGCCATCCAACCAAGCATTTGATRTGAGGCTGCACCTTTCATGTTTGAGTTTGAAGCAGAACTGTGAACACAATCTCCTGATGGTCCCCACTCACAACATTATTGGAGATGCCTGAGAACATCCAAATTTGATGCCTTTCAGATGGCAGTGAATGGTTTAATGTCTCCTCAGTGCACAAACAGTGTCCACGAGTCACCAGTGAGCACCCAGTCACTGGGAAATGGCCAAACAAATCCTAGAAATGGCCAAATCACCAGATTTTAATCCCAAAATCACCACATCCCAGAGTCATCAAGGTTGGCAGAGACCTTCAAGATGATCCAGTCCCATCACCAGCCCAATGCCGCCATCATCACCCCTAAACTGTGTCTCCAAGTRCCAGATGCTCCTGAAGTGAATATCCTGCCCTGAAATGAGTCCATGGTGCTCAGCACGTTTTCATTGTCTGGCTGTCAGAGCAGACACCCTGTGCCACGTGCCTTGTGCATGGGAGCACAGCCAGCACCTCATAATCCTGTTCACAAGCATTCCAAACACTGTCTGAAAGTGTTTCTCRTGGTTATAGATCCACACTGAAGCCTTCACTGTTTTCTACAGACTTTTTGTCTGTGCTTGAACAGTATTTTGTTTGACAAGTGATTAATGTCTAATCATAACAACCAGGCGCAAATGCATCAGTGTCATTGCTGTTATTTTTCTACTGGTATTATGTGATCATTGTTTTAATTGTTGATTGAGTGCTTCCYAAATTTCATTGTGTGCCAAAAGAAGTTGACACACTCTGCTGTGATTTATGTGCAGTGTCATCCCCAAGACAGATTTCTGCATGGTACACGTTGAAGCAGCTCTTCAGAAATAAATGCATTATCACTCTTTTGAGGAGGGAACTCAGTACCACATCCCTGCCACTTTCTCAAGAGAATATTAGCAAAAAAACACCCTGGAGGTGCTAAATGGATTTTACAAAAATATGGCATAAATTAAGATTCACGTTGCTCTTGTGCTGGAAGCTGAGAGCAGCACCAGCCTTCGGAATGGAGGGCACTGAGAATGGAACCAGGGGAGGAATAAACACTGAGCTCTGCTTTTGACATTTGAATTTGACTTTTGACATTTCAGCCACATGGAAAAGAAGCAAAGCTCTGGGGACACTGGGTGCTGGGTGTGTGCTTTCCCTCCCAGCKGAGACACCAAAGGTTTCCAAGATCAATAAAAAGTTCCTGACTGAAGCAACTTCTGCCATGTGGGAGAGCAATTGTAAAATAGAGCCTAGAAATGATCCAGAGAAAATGCACTTTTATTTACTCTTTCTGCATTGGATTTTGTTTGCAAAGGAACTCAAACCTCACCTTCACGGTGCCCCCATCGTATCCAAAACTTCTATCGTTCAGTCTGAAGGAAAATACAGGCAAAAATGCTGAAGGGACATTCCACTTAGCCAACTACTGCTGTTACTGATTTCTAATTGCCTACCTCCACCCAAAATCCAAAGCACAATACACACTGTGTGAAAAAGAAAAAAAGGCCAAGAGAGTCAATATATCAGCCTTACCTTTGGTACAGAACTGATGTGCAAATTGTCAACAGGGCCAGAAATCTTTGACACCTTGGGAGGAAGAGAGACAAGTCCTGCAACGAGGATAGAAAAGATTACTGTTATTCAGTGTCCACCAYRGCATGAACCACCAGAAATGGCCAAWTAGGATTTCATATTGTGAGCCAAGCCAGGCTTGATTTTTTGGATTAACATGGCCAGGTTTTTGTGCTGAAGGAGTTTGCAGGGGTGGCTTCTGTGAGGTGACAGCAGCAGCTGTCCCCATGTCAGACAGAGGGAGCTCCAGGWGGCTCCAGGACAGTCCKGCTGCTGGACAAARCTGAGCAYATCAGTGACACTGGTGGCACTTCTGTGATAAAACATTTAAGAAAAAGCTAAAAAAAAAAACCAGCCCAGGTGAAAAAAAGGTAAAAAAAATACCTGGGAAAGAGGAGTGAGAAAATGTGAAGGAAACAGTTCCGTTTTGAACAGTCCTTCAGCCACATGAGTGAAAAAAAGGAAGTGACCTGCCAAGGTCAACTCAGCACACAAATAAATACGACAGGAGCCCACCTAGGCCATGGTGGGTTCAAATTTGTTCAGGTACACTTAATTTTCCTTTCATTTTTTTACAACTGCTTCATTTTATAATACCACATGCTCTGGAAATCTTCCCACTGTACTTATTTCTTCACCACTTATTTGTCAGAGAGGAAAGGATGTGTGGCTGGATTACAGACTCTGCACAATAATTTGATGTCATTAAGTGTTTGATTAAATGTTTTGAGAATAATGTGGTTATAAATGCAAGTGGTGGGTAACGATTTGGTGGAGATTTACATTTGCTTTTGAAGAGTCTTTGTGCTTAAGGACAAGAATTTATAATGCCTTAGTCATTTATCAGTAAAATAATAGTTCACTAACTGCCTTTATTCTTTCCTCCTTTTATTTTTTTTTTTGTGTTGGTAGTGACGGATTTTCTTTTGTTTTCACAGACCAACTGCAAAATATTGCCTAAATTGCTGCTTGTATGAAAATCCAGTCCTCCCACATCTGGGCCCAGAAGATAATTGGAAGAACAAAGGCATTTAAAAAAAACAAACCCAGGACAAAATCTAAACTCAATTGCAAAGAACTTGGACATTTTCTCAGTATTTTTAGAGGATCTTGCTCTAAAAAAATCCAAAATGCTCTGGAGAGGTCCAGGCCCAGCACAAATCCTTTGCTAAATATTCTGAAACCTCACAATTTTTGTAATTGCATGACCTGTTGTCCAAAAGGCCCGTGTTGAGAAGCAATTTGACAAGGTGTGATTCACCAGCTCAGACTCACTTGGGCTTTGTTCTGTGTTCCACAATTCCTCTGGAATGTATCCCAGATTTTCACTGCCACTCCTCTGCCTGTCATCCAATTCGCCGTCTTTTTTCTTCTCAGCTGAAACTTTYCTAGAACACAAAACTTTGTTGTTAGAAATTCACCACAATGGGAGAACTCTCGGGTAGCAGACTACAGAGGGAAAAATACATGTCTTACTGCCCAAAAAAATTGGTGCAAAACATATCTGGACCTCCCAGGCAATTTGCTGGCACAAATCTTGTCCCATATGAGTAGTGCCCGTGGAATTCTGTTTGGAAAGYTTCCATCAGCTGCAGTATCAGAAAGCACGAAAATAAAGCAACTTTCAAAGAGTGARGACTCTGTACCAGATCACAGGTTTTGTAGAAAATTAATTTTGATCTCTAATCCTGAATTACAGGATATTGAAGGGCCCAATAATGGAAAATCAGCCAGGTCATGTATGTCAGCTCATCATTTTGGTGYCAAGCTGCAAAAACAAAGCATGTCACCTCACGTGCCCACAGTCAGCTCCCAAGTGATTCATCTGTACACTCCGAAGTTAATCTTTCACTCTGAAATTTACTTTACATGAGAGAGAAATTCCTTGGTTAATGTTACACATCCCTGAATTTGCAGAACGGTGCCCTCACAGCTGCACAGAGAGAGAATGGTGCTTTTTTACCTAAAACTCTGATGTTAGAATAGATGCTACTATTGGCCTGTTGCTACCATGGACCCCTCTCCAGGACAGTCCTGGACCACCTTTGCCTAGGTTTGGGGTGCGGCAAGAACAAACCTACCATGGCAAATCAGGAATTTTTAGAGGAAGGGGGTAATGGGGTGTTGATGATGTTTGTGGAAASTGTCCTTGGACAAAAGTTGTGGCAGGGTCAGGCTCTGCTCCAGGGAACAGGGACAGGAGGAGAGGGAATGGCCTCAGGCTGGGCCAGGGGAGGCTCAGGGTGGACACCAGGAGGAATTTCCCCATGGAAAGGGTGCTCAGGCCTTGGCAGGGGCTGCCCAGGGAGCTTTGGAGTCCCCATCCCTGGAGGTGTCCCAGGAAGGGCTGGAGGTGGCACTGAGTGCTCTGGGCTGGGGACAAAGTGGGCATTGGGACCAGCTGGGATTGGATGAGCTTGGAGGTCTTTTCTAACCTCAGAGATTTCATGATTCCATTATTCTATTTTTTTTTTTTTTTTGTGTTCAGTAGGAACCACTTTGCAGGCCCACAGAGTTTCAGAGGGGCRTTACTAAAGCACACAGAAATCTGGTGAGTCAGCTGCCCACTATGGGGCTTTTTTAGGAAATAAGCAGGTTACACACCACTAAGAGACCTGCCATGGTTGCTAGAAGACAAAAGCAATTGTTTAGGGCTACCACCCCCACACGTTACTTGACACTGTGCTGTCCATTTTATCTGATCCTTATATCCCAACAAATTCGGTGGAGTAGCCAAATAAAAAGCAGCTATCAAAAAAAAAAATTAAAAAAAAAAGAGAGAAAAAAAAATGTGTGGGAGGTATAGGAAGATAGCCAGCCAAGTTAAAAATAAAGGTGGGAAATAAACCAATGTATGTTTGGTCTCACTACTTCTTTGCTACTACAGCAATGCAGAACCCAAAATCTGGACAAGAATTGTTCTTTCTACTGCAGGGAGGCTCCCCTCAAGAAAAAAGCACTGAGCCTACAAAATCCATAAGCGATTRTTAAGAATCCTTGTGATTTCAGGGTCATTGTTTAGACATCCTAAAACTTTGAAGAACTGTCAASACCGAGTCTCCAAATCTAAACTAAGCATCAGAGCCTGACTTTATCCCAATTTTCTTAACTTTAAAGTGTAAGCAAGGTTTGTGAACTCAGTGAGACAACTCMTGTTTAAAGACAATGGAGAAATAGTAACTTTATCGTACTGAGAGCTAAAAACACAGGTTCTGCCATGAAGGTAGAACTGTGTYTGCCCAGACCAGATGCAAAAACAGAGGGAAAGTATAGTTGTGCCCTGCTCTGGACCTGTTCAGGCTGTCTGAAAGCAAGTTCTGTGCAGATCCCCAGCAGCAAGGAATGGTGCTGGGAAGGACATGAACCCAGCTGTTCCAGACCCCTCTGCTGGGCGGGTCCTTCCCTCCATGTTCAGCTGGTTTTACCTCAATAGGATCAACCCTTGTGGAAGTTTTGGGGATTCTGAACCAAGTCAGAACCCAAGCAATCCCTGCTGATTTAATCCTGCAATATTTATATAGCTGCATTTGGCAAAATGATKAATTTAGCCCCACAAACTCAGAAATCCACGTGGAAGTTTACATGCCAGGCATGGAATAATAAACATCATTTCCTCAGGAGAAAACAGAGGGTATCTAATTTCCTTATTTTGTTTCCTATCAATAAAGTGCTCTACAAATGGAAATCTGTCAACAGACCTCCACAAAGTTTCCCCTCAAGAGGCTGTTAATGAAACTGGGAATTACTGACGTGCCAGGCAACGGGGTGGAACATTTTGAAAACTCATTAAGGGACAGGGAATTATAAACCCCACAAGCGTAGGCAGAGGATGAATTTACAACGCTGCCTAAATATAAATAATAATAAAAAMAACCCCACTGCCATGGCTGTCACAGCCACACAGGTGCTGATAAAAAGGATCTTAGTGCTGAGAGGCACCAGTTATTGATTTTTAAAGTCTTTCAGCTCAGTGCAATAATGGACCAACAGCTTTGCACTCAAGCACAGCCGACACTCACCGGGTGAGGTGCTGATGCCCATCAAGGGGGCAGCTTTATTAATTTTTTTGCAGAATTATGGTTTGGGTTGGGAAGCACTTTAAAGCTCACCTTGGGAAGGTGTCCCAACCCCCTGCCAAGGGCAGGGACACCTTCCACTGTCCCCGGGCTCCAAGGGACATTCCCAGGGATGGGGAGTCCACAACATCTCCGGGCAACCTGTGCCAGTGCCTCGCCACCCTCACAGGGAAGAATTTCTTCCTAATACCGGATCTAAACCTGACCTCTAAACCCCCTTTTTAGCAGCTTAACCAGCCTCGAAAGAGCCGGGGAGCCGGTGGAATYTGGCGAGCCCCGGAGCTCCCGGCGCCACCGCGCTCCCGGTCTGGCAGTGACATCCTGTGGCGRCGGCGGCAATCGCCCGGCGGGCTCTGCTCGCCAGCCACCCTCCCCTGCCTTCCCCGGGACACCTGGGGACACAGCCAGCTCCAGGGGATTCTATTTCCTTCAGGTTTGATAGGGTCTGCTCGGTTTGTCACCTCCGCGCTGGATCCATCAGCGAGGCGGCGCTTGCGGGGTTTCGATGGGCTTTTCACCGCTGTGGAACCGATGTGGAGCTCCCATCCTGCTGCGAGCTCTGGCGCTCGCCTTTCATCCCTAAGGTCTGYCCCCTTCCCTGGATGCTGTCCCCACGAGCAGCACGGAGAGCTCTGGGATGAAGGATGCCGGGACAAAGAAACCGAAACGTCCCCATTGCCACCCCGCAGCAGCCTCAGGGAGTCCCGTGAAYGTGAAAAGTTTCCCCACATCCTCCGACTTACCTTATTTCGTTTTGATAGTTGGATCCTGAGAAAGAGAAAAAAAAGAAAAAAAAAAGTGTTTAAAACGCAGGGAACTACAATTTAAAAAATCTGTAAGTTCTCTCAGAGCATACCCTGAGTTYCAGCTACCACAGGAGCATCTCTCCACCCCGTCACAAAATTGGGCAGCCCTGTAGAGCAGCTTACACAGAAACTAGAATCAGACACACAACACCGGAAATATTCTTCAAGAACCTCTAAAAGTCTTTGAAAATTCATGTACTCCCAAAAAAAAAACATGACCCCTGGTAGTTAACGTGTAAGGGTTGACACTGATTGCTCTGGAACCAATTTCTGAGAGAAGGATGGTGAAATTAAGGAGCACCTTAAACAGCTCATAGTTAAGGGCAGATCTGTCTGGTCACACTTCTGCTCTCAGGTCTTGGTGCAGCACCAGAGCTGACACAAGTGGGAGGTTTATGTCTCATCAAAGTTATTTTTTTAATGTACAGAGTGGTCACTCACCTCTCCTCTTTAGGCAGCAGCGCACAGCAACCACAATAACAACGATCAGCAGAACAATACCAAGAAATGAAAGCACAACTGCAACTACAATAACCCACGTGCTCCTGTTGTCTTCACTGTACTCATTTTCTGTTAAATTAAATGGAGAAACATTGGACTATCAGAGCCTCAAAACATTCCTTTTCAGAATATTTACCTTTTTCTGTGAGATGCCATTTGGTGCTTGGTGAATATTTAACAGGGAGTCTGCGTTTTCCAAATGACAGACTCTGTATTTATGGATAATGCCCAGGAATTTAAAATATTCACAAATTCTTTACTGCAGTTGTAAATTTTCCCACTGYTACTTCTCTTCTGAAAAACACAGGGTTGCAACCTTCCAACTTAATTTTATTTTATAATTAGGCTGGGCCTCCCAGAGTCCTTTGGAGACATTTGTGGTTGGGGAGAGGTGTTAAAATTCATTTTAGGTGTCCATACTGCAGATATTAAGTGTCTYGGCTGCTCTTGTCRATGTAGAGAAAATAATTATTTTGGKTTACAGTTTATTTGACCAAATGTGYATGTGTCCCTTTCAATAAGCTGAACTTTAAAAAATTTAAATTTRAAAAATTTCTCCCCACAAACAACAGCAATAGTCGTAGGTGATTAATACAGTGATCTCTAGCCTGGAAATACGATTTTCTAATCAATTGTGTCTTGGGATTTCTCTCAGTGATTTCAACAAGTGTTTGATTTTAGGARGTGCTCGGTGGGACACCTGTTAACCACTTAGAGAGCACCAAAGAGCAAAMCCTGTGAAGAACACACAGTTACTGACCCATCTTCACCAGTATTCTCACATTTAACTTCTTCCTTCATCTTTGCTGTATTCTGCAGGGTTAAATGAGGGGATTTAAGGATAATTCAGTGTCTTGCTGAAACTGGTTGTTATGACCAAACAGGGCTCCCAGAATTGAAAAATATCTTGCACTTAGAATTATAGAATCATGGAATGGTTTGGATTGGAAGGCACCTTAAAGATCATTTTATTCCACCCTCTGCCATGGGCAGGGAYACCTTCCACTGTCCCAGGATGCTCCAAGCTCTGTCCAGCCTGGCCTTGGACACTGCCAGGGGTGGGAAATAAATATTTCTCAGGTAGCTGTATGTGCAAGGAAGATGCCAGTTCTGCTTGTCACCTCATCCTGCCCTTTGGTTTGACCAAATATTCCAGAAGTAGCTCCAATTTGGCCCCAAAACACTTTTGGCAGTCATTTAGAAAACAATCTTCCAATCCAAATCCCAGGTGTGAGACACACCCAGATKTGACACAGCTCTGTTCCATGAGTTTATGATTGTCTTTTCTTCATTAGAGCTCCCAATCAACAACTCCATGGCCACGCTTGGCTGACAGGCTCTGGGAAAGGTACCACAGGAATGAGGGTGACTGGGAGCTGCCCCAGACGATTATCCTGATGTGGGAACCAGATTTACCTGTGGGAGGGAATAAACTTAACCCTTTCTGCCTACAAATTTTCCTGGGTGCTGCTTTGGAGACTTCAGAAGGTTCAGTATCAGAGCCTCCTACAAAGCTGGAACCTCTGTCAGGAATCTGCATTCTCCAAAGCTCAGGTCATTACCATTGAGGAATTTGTTCCAGTCTTCTCTAAACCTAATGCTCAATCAACATGTTTTGAATTTCTTCTATTAGGAAAAAAAAAAAAAAAAAAAAAA